TGTCAAATCTACCTTTGCCAAGCTGTCAAATAATATTTTGAAACAAAGGAGAAATAGAGCAGAATGAAAGATGGAGAATGGAATGGAACAGTAAATTGAACAGTTACTAAAATGGGAAAGTAGGTTTTAAAATAGTTCTGAATTTGGAAACATGAATGTTTAGCTCACAGAGCATTAAAAAGGCCTCAAAATCATTTTATATACCATCTATTGACCCATTCATGCACTTTCAAGCATCAAGTTGTACACATGTTCATTATAATGAGCCAATTATTTTTAGGATTGGTATTTAAACATGTCCTGTATAAAATTTTAAAGGTATTAATGATTTCAGTTTTCAAACTCAGATAAAGCTACAGTAAACAATGAGGCAACACTATACAATTTCCATTCTTCAGCCTGATTAAGATGCATTAATTAGAAATTTGGAAACCTGTTGGATAATTATTATTTTCTCTGCATTTTAATTTGTGACCTATCATTGTGATTACCACTTTGTTGTTGTTTAGTCGTTAAGTCGTGTCCGACTCTTCGTCACCCCATGGACCAGAACACGCCAGGCCCTCCTGTCTTCCACTACCTCCCAGAGTTGGGTCAAATTCATGTTGGTAGCTTCGGTGACATTACCACTTAGAAGACATGATATTAAAATGTTCTAAATCACCCATACTTAAACCTCAGTTTTAAAGAAGTTTAAAATTTAAGTATGTACAACAGAAACAAAATACAAAAACAAAAATCAAGCATGGTGTCACTTTTAAGACAATGTTCGTGTAAGGCAATTTAAGATTTATTTTAGTGTGTTTGTGGAATACTCAGATGCACAGAGTACAACATTTACACCACAGAGAGACATTAAAAACTTTTATTTTTACTAATAGAGATACCTCGCTAAAAGTTTTTTAAAAATTAAAATTTCAGCCTCTCTCCCTTTCTCTCTTAATCCTCATTATAATTCCAATAAAATTTCTGGGAGCTGCAGTTTCACTGTCCATTAGGCTCTCTAGAAGTTTTTCCCAAAGACCTAAGCCAACCAGGAAGCTCTGTGTCAGTTTCCTTGGGTCAACAGGAAATAGGCCAGAGACAGCCTGGAAGAGAGGCCTGTTCCAGGTCAGTAAAACAAGGTGTGTGAAGCTGTCTTTAGGTATATGTCTGAGAAATTCTTGGAGAATTCTCGACGTGAGGAGAGAAAAAACTAGTGGCAGAAAATAAGTGAGCACTTTTTGAGACAGTCTATCAACTAGATATGAATCCATGCAACACTTGCACTGTGTAACTCCCATTTTACCAGTTTGGCCACAGGAATATCATGAGTCAGAGGCAACTTAAGCAGCACATAACAACTACTACTACAAACAAATGATTGCACACATGGTGTCATCAGGAAAGATTTGCCTTCTTGAACCATAGTCTGTGCTTCCAACAAAAAAGGACTCATGGCAGGTGAGGGGTTGTGCCTTTCAGGGACTGAGAAGATTTTTTTTCCCCCGGAGTCTTTCAAAGTTATTCAGGAGGGCTTTAAACAGAACTCTGCAGGGGAGGGAGATGGTGTTTCAGAGAACAGGGAAACATCAAGTACTGGGGACAAGAGTGTTTGTGATGCATAGGAAACCAGAAGGGTAAGACAGTTACTCATCATTGGATGGAGAAAGATAATCAAGATAATCGATCACATTTTATACAACCAGTCTTTTAATTTAATCACTTTTTTTCTTTAAAATTTTGTTTTAGTGTGGGTACATATATAACATTTATAGCTTTTGTTAAACATGGTAGTTTTACTGTACCTTTACCCAGTACGTTAGCACTTACTCCATCAGCTAAAAATACATGCTGGTTTTTCACAGGTTGGAAATTGTAAATCAGTTTTCTGTTCCTCCATAAGTTTGTTGCAGCTCCAGAATCGATAACCTATTCATTTTCATTGTTCCCAGTGTTATTTGTTGTATCAATTAAATGTGTTTCGCTGTTACTGTGTTGTTGCTGCTTTCTGCCTTTCTTCTTGGCCTTGCAGTTACAGAAGAAATTATTCTTAGAGCCACATGAAAAACATTTCCTTGTTGTGTGTGCCTGTTCTGCTCCGTTCTCCTCCTCCTCAAATTCCTTCAGCTGCTTTGCTTGAAGCTTGTGCTGATTAGAACAGTGGTTCTTAACCTTGGGTTACCCTGGTGCTTTTGAACTGCAACTCCCAGAAACCCCAGCCAGCACAGCTGGTGGTGAAGGCTTCTGGGAGTTGCAGTCCAAAAACACCTTGGTAACCCAAGGTTAAGAACCACTGGATTAGAACACACCGAGATGGATTTATGGAGTTGTTTGTTATCTCTTCTTTTCTGGTCCTCCTCCAGAAGCCTGTTTGTTACATTTAGCACAGTTAATTCAGCTCGTGGTAGGACCTCTAAATTAGATACAAACTGATCATAAGATTTATCCAGCGATGATAGAATTATAAACGCTTCTTGCAATTCAGTAAATGTAACTTGCTTTTCTCTCAGATCCATGAGCATTACCTTCATCTGCTCCAGGTGTCGCAGCATGCTTTCTCCTGTCTGCAATCTCATGTGGAAAAGTTTCTTGGCAAGTTGAATCTGGCTTCCTACGCTGCCTCTTACAAAGATTTCCTTTAAAGCATCCCATGCTTCTTTTGCAGATGTTAAGCCTCTGATACGGATTAATAGATAATCTTCTAGAGTCAGTCCTATAATTGCCAGAGCTTTGTTATTCATTTCTTTATCTTCATCGTCTAGCACGGCTGGTGGGTGTTCTACAATATTCCAGAGAGATTCTTTTTGGAGTAGTAATAGTATCTTTTGTTGCCATGTGGAAAATTTTTCTCCATTTAGCCTCGTTACTGGAAATCCTGACATCATGATTGTAGACTCCATTTCAGACTGTAAATATCACCCTGTTGACTTACTGCTTCTTCACCTCCTATTTTACTCTCTTCACAAATTTTGTCTGCACCCTTCTATATAGATTTTTCTGGGCATGTCTCAGCGTCTCCTTTTTCAGTGTCCTCCTGAGCATTTTCCTGGGCCCATAACCAATGACAGGTGCTTTGTGGATGAGGGGGTGCTCCAGCAGAAATTAATCCAATTCAGCGTGTCAGTAAACAGACAGATAATATTGAGAGTAGTAAAGTAAATAATTGTATTGTAACAATATTGTAGTAGTAATAATTCATACAGAATAGTCCTTTCTTCAGTCCTTGGTCATACACTTAACAGCTATTAATGTCAGTCCATTTACCATACCATAAATTAGTGTCCGTAGTAAATTCTGTTTTGTAAATCAATCTGGCAGAGTTTCTCCTTCTCTCTATTCGACCCACAAACCAAGTGTACTGAGGCTTTCAGCTTTATTGCCTCTTGTGGCCAATTGGAGATTAGCTCCTCTAGCATTCTTCTCTTGCATTTTGTTTTCACAGCTGTATGAAGTTTAACTGTTAGCTTGTTCCTAGCTCAGCTGAAGTACTTTATCAACTCTTTCTACAGAACTTTCTTACTGACTTTCTTACAAACTTGATCAACTATTCTTACAGGTATTTCTAAGATCTGACACAGTTCCCCTCAACCAAGCACCCCAGTCCCCACACAGTTTTTCAAATGGTTTCAAATAATCCCTGGAACACATTTTCAATAGGGCAGTTAGGAAAACTCAATTTAAAAAACACAGGTGCAAATAGCCTATTAGCACCTTGTTAACACCTTAAGGGATCTTCTGCTGTTTGAACTTTTTATAACTGTGCACTCTGCCTTCATCCCTGCTGACTCCTGCAAATTGTCATCTGGACAACTACAGTGATTCACTCAGGGAAACTTGCTTTGATAAACTGCAAATACACATTAGATCAAACTATATTTCCCCACTGTGTAATCACACCCTAACCTGCCCAATGGGCATTACAGCATTCACACAGTAAGTAATCTTTGCTAGTTCCATGAACTCCATCTTCTCCATTTGGATTTAAGCTGAAAGAGCAAGGAAACGTATGGGTGTGTTCTAAATCAGCTCAGTTTGTGACATATTCCTGTTGTGGGCTACATCACTTAAGGTGTCAGCCTTTGTTTACAGTTACCTTGTACTGTTAACCTTGAACCAACATGAGGTATCTTTAACTCAGTTCTCCAGATATGACTGTGAAAAAAGTGTGTAATATAATGTAAATAATATTGTGCTGCTATTTGTTCTTGAAGTGACAACAGCACTACATTTTTGTGTGAGATGAAACCCATATAGCAAATGGATCAGGAACTTAAGATCAGTTGACAAATTTGTTAGAATAGAGTACAGAATAACAGAACTGTTTTCATAGCTGAAAAGTGAGACATGTATCTAAACCAAGAGATAAAGCTGTTGCAGGTATCAGCTTGGACAAATCATTTCCTTTGTAATGTAATGCATACTAGGGCTTGTTTATTTTTTTTTTCTAGCCTACATTTATTTCAATTAAGTAAAAATTATCTAATTATTGCAATACATTCTAAAATGTGTGCTACAGAAAACATCAAGTACTTTAGCTGAAGATAACATGATCACTTAAGAATCAAAGAACAGTTAAATCTTTAAGTATCTCATTTTTAAGCAGTTGCACACAACCTTTCTACTTCATCAGCCCACTATCATCTGCCCACTATCACAGGTCGCTACAAACACAAATGAGGCTTTAGCATCTAGTGGGCCTGTGGTCCTTTGTGTTCTTACTGAAATACCTGCTTCATCATGAAGGGAAGCACACTGGCTTCAAAACACATTTGAACCTAGCCTTAGAACCATTATAACTTAAATGGCACTTTCAAGCATGCAAGATACACATTCTCACAACTCTGTGATACATTGCCCTGCCAAGAGAATGTAGTTTTTCTAAGACTACCAATGACATAGCAGGGATTTCATGTTGAGTCTCCACACCTCACCCCAATTTTGTGTCCATCAGTAAGTATAATGAAATGTGGGTCATGTGAAACAGCTCTTCTAAGCACTACTCTTCCTTTTTCTTTCAGGCCCCAATTGCTTTGCTGAGACGATAGTCATTCCAGCCGGTCGAGAAGTGAAGACTGATGAATGCACGATATGTCACTGTACTTACGAAGAAGTTACTTGGAGAATTGAAAGACAAGCTATGTGTACCAGACATGATTGCAAGCAAATCTAGATCTAGGACTCCAGTGAATCAAGACATTTTTTATAAAATATTTCCCTGCACCAGATAATTTTTGAGAAAATATAAATCAGCTTCAAAAACAATTTTGCAAAGTAGCGTACAGCTATTTTCTTTTTTCCACAGTAAAAAAAAATATATTGTGAGTCAAAGGTTTGGACCTGAAGGTTCATGCTGTATTAAATGAGTTATATTTCCAAGGTGAGTACTTTAATGTCAACTCAAAGATTATATTATTTCTGTAATACAATCACAGAGTTTAAAATAAATGTTTTATATAGATGATAAAGATTAAAATTCTATAAAGTTATTGTCTTCTTGCTTATCTGATGGTGCCCTAAAATAAAAAATTTTGATAGAAGCTATTTTTATGGTATAACAGTACGTATGGAAATCTGAAAATGAAGGACCTTTAGGACAGCGATTAATAAGCATTTACAAGAGGTGCAATGGTAACCAATTCAAAGGAGGATTTGTTGTACATTGGTAAAATGAGGATGGTATTAAATGTTCTAAATTCTGTGAGAGAATATTGACTACACCAGCATGGATGTACTGTGGGAAGAATGGGATTACTGTGACCTGCTTGATATCTTGGTTAATTTTATCTTCTGGTATAAACAGGTTCATTGCCTGTCACTAGTACTGAAAGACTATAATTTGTGAATTTGCAATGGCTAAACATTTAATGGGCATGAATAAAAAGCATAATTTGTGCTGTTCTCTATTTTAACTCTAATTGAAACTAATTATTTTTCTTGGCATGCAGGCAGTTATGGATAAAACATGTCCTACCTAAATTATATAATTACATAATATGAGGCATTCTCACTTATAAAATGTAAATTATGACTAGGTTAGCTTGCCCGTTATTTTTTAAACTGCATGCTCCTCTAAAGAAACTTTCATTCTTTCAGGCACTGCAGACTCTTACATTTCCTTTTTTATTATTATTATTTTTAAACTACTAGGAATGAGGTAGGGAATACAAAAGGTAAAAGGGAGTGCAGGGGATGGTAAGAGGGTTTTGAGGATAGGAGAACACAGAGTATCCAATCATCCACTCTATTCATATTAAGTATGCATGCCTCTGATCCATTCATTTTCCAGTACAAAAAAATCTTTGTATTCTTTACATATATATATCTGTATACTATTTGATTAT